TTTGCCATTAGGGTCCCCATCCCCTCTGCTCTCCCCTCTGTCTCACTGCCAGAGCATGGCTCTCCGTATTTGGGTGGAGGCTTTCATTTGGGTAATCGAAGCGAGACTTCTGTGTCAAATAATGTCCTGGGAACGATACTACGTATTTTGGCAGGACTGTGTCCACCAGTCACAGTGGTCAGCTGAGTAGCCGACAGATCATGGCCACGTGCCTGTGATTGGCCATTGTAAATTCAATGTGTGCTTTGCATGGCTGCTTGTACCGAGTACTAAGCACCATGGTGAGTAATATCGCATACATTAAAGCACTATGCACAATCCACTTTGAGGACACGACCTTTAAAATCACGGTTTCATTTTATTGCTAGGGAGAAAAAGGTCCAGTTGACCTCATTAGTTTATCAGATTAGCCTGCCCACTCATCTGTCCTTTTTAGCTCTAAGAAGTTAGTGGCCCCGTGCATGCTGGTGACAGGCATGTAGGGTGGGAGTGTGGAACAGCTCTTTGTCTGGCTGTTCTTCCCAAAACAGGAGCCATAGTCACGTTCAAGGTGGTCTGAGACTGTGCGTGAGAGGGCCACCCGCACAGACAAGTACAGCAGCGAGCGTGCCATGAGCCAGGGAGCCTGAGACTCCCATGCCGACCAGGCTGGCGGCAGGTTGGGGAGGGAGTGACTCCAGGAGGCTGTTCTCGGGCATCCTTGTTTCTGCGTGGGTTTGCCTTCTGCAGGCCAAGTCCTGTGCTTTGAAATGTGAGCCCATATGATTGAAAGGCCTGATCGCTTGGGTCAGCCATTGATCGAAGGGCGTTCTTACCCCCTTCTTCTAGCATGTAAAATTTCCATGGGCACTGCCTTCCTAAGGCTTTGGTTGTCCTGAAACACAAGAGGGGGTCTCAGTGTGCTCACCCAGCGCAGGAAGCGGCTGCTCACCTTTCCAGCTGTTGACGCACTTAGACCTGCAGGAGCCGACACCACCACAGTCCAATTGCTGGCCCAGGCAGAACTGTCTGGTCCTGGCGGCCACACTTTGGGGCAGAGACAGCCTGTCTGGATGGGTTGGTAGAGAACACTTGTGACTAGGTTACCGCTTGGGCTGAGAGTGAATTCTCACCTCCACTTCTTCGTGGGTTTCTCAGAGCCAAGTGAGGGGAGTGAAGGACCTGTGGGGACAGGAAGAGGGCCAGGAGGTTGCCAAGCCACCTTCTAATGCCTACACGTCCCCCATATCCTGTGATGTTGGGAAAGGGACAGGTGACTTGACCATGTCTCACACCGGAAAGGGTCTCTTCTACCACAAACCCGGGGGCCAGGTCTGCAATGGACTCGATCAACATGAGCTCAGTACTCTAGGACCCAGTAACATTCAGTGTCTGCTGAGACCCAGGCAAGGACCAGGGAGGCGAGCCCACAGCCCAGCCTTCTCTGCCAGCGCCTGGCCTGTGGTAAGCGCCTCCAGAGTCACGGTACCTGCCCTCCTGCACCGTTATGCTGATCATCAGGGAGAGCAGAACAAGGCCCCGCTGGGAGGCAGTGGAGAATGCACGTGGGAAGAGCAGAGAAATCACCCTGAGCAGAGTGGAGAGCCTGGCGGGCAGAGCTCGGACATTTGTAATGGTGCCAGCAGGGCTGACAGCAGTGGCCAGAAAGCCAGCCTCAAGCCCTGCAGGTGGTGGCGGGTCCTCGGCAGCACCAGTATTGTCTCAATCGTGTCTCCTGGAAGTAGACCTGAGGCTGCATGCATGGAGGGCTGCCGAGTGTGGGGGCTGCCGTGGATGGAGGGTCACCACAGGAGGAGTGGAGGGCTGCCATCAGAGTCAGGCCTGTGAAGGAGCGAGGCACTGAGCTGTGGTTGATGGAAGCCCAGCTGGGCCTCAGGGACTCTGGAGCCCAGATGGCACTCAGCTTCCCCAACTGAAGAGAGCCCTGTGGGCTTCAGGCAGCCCTTAGGAGGGGCAAAGCCTGGTGAATCTGCGCCCTGCAGGAGCTTCCTATCCATGATCACTGCAACCATCAGCAGCCCCAGCCCACTCTGGGGGACAGAGCTATGGACCTGGGTCAGGCACCACCAGACGCCGCATAGAGGTGTGTCTTAACTTCGGATGCAGCAGAAATCCCTGGAGAGCTGTGGAAACAGATCGCTGGGTTTTACCCCCCGTAGCCCTGGGAGAGGCCCCAGAATGTGCATCTCTTCCCAGGAGATGCTAATGTTCCTGGCCCAGGAGCATCTGTTGGGGGTCATTGCACTATAGCCTCCCACAGGCAAGTTTCCCAGGAGCTGGCTCACAGCCACACCTCCCCAGCTCCTTCCTTCCCTGGGCTCCCAGCATGTGTTCCTCCTGGGAGAGCCTTGTTTGAACTAGGGCTGGCTGCATGTGGGTTCCTGGGAAATCAGGACCTACAGAAAAATTGGGGGCACTGGCGCAGTGGCTCAAGTGGTTGGAGTGTCGTCCCATACACCAAAAGGTTGCGGGTTCGATTCCCAGTCAGGGCACATACCTGGATTGTGGGTTCAATCCCTGGTCAGGGCACGTACAGGAGGCAACCGATCACTATTTCTCTCAGATTGATGTTTCTCTCTCTCCCTTCCTCTCTCTCTAAAAAAAAAAAAATCAGTAAAAACATATCCTTAGGTGAGGGTAAAAAAAAAGATTGGGTGAGGGGTGCGCCACTCCATGACCACACAACAGTTCCCTAAGCGCCCCTCTGTTCTCTCCCTGGGTGTCTGCCCTCAGTCCCGTCTCAGCACCTCGTCACTCACAGCTCCCCCAGCTCAGCTGCTCCCTCCTTCTGAGGACTTACCTGGCCGGCCGATCATGGCCAGCACCCTCCCTCCCAGGCCCTGGGCACCCTGCGTAGACCCTGACAGGACACCCGTGCTGTCTGTCTTCCCTCCCCGAGCAGGCGCTTCTGGAGGCTCCCCCGGGGCTGCACCTGGCTGTCACTGGGTGGACATCTATTGAACTGAACAATCATGAGTGGGCACGTCTTGCTAATTTGAGCTGTGTGGCCCTGGCAACCAGAGGAACAGGAGTAGAATTCGCAGGAGTAATAGAAAATGGTCCTTCGCCAGAAACACAAGCGAGCCATCAAATAGAGGAGAGAGGGTGGAATTAACAAGGGCACTAAAGCACTTTCACTCTCTCCTTGATTAAAGTGGAAGGGAAATCTGTAGACAGTTAACAGCAGCAAATGAAGCTCTTGCTATAGAAATGAGCAGTGACACGGTGCGTGACTGCAGTGCTCGGAGACGTCCAACAGGCTGCTTGTAACAGATAATACAAGATGCCCAGCCCAGTGGTCACACCTGCTGGGCATGTCCGTGTGCCCACGTCTGACCAAAGGCCAAGGGCGGTGGGGTGGGGGCCTGGTTGTTCTGC